AACCAAGGTACGTGCCCTTGACCGGAATTGAACCCAGGACCATTTGGTCCACAGGCCAACACTCTATCCACTGAACCAAACCGGCTAGGGCTGCCCCCTTTTTTAGATTTCAGGATTTCAGTGCCTGACCACTTGTTTCCCCAACTTCCACCTCCACCCTCTCTTCTCTCCTCCTGGTACTAGAAAGGCATTTTCCCACCACACACACACACACACACACACACACACACACACACACACACGCCTGAAATAGGCATCACCCTCTTTTTTTCACTGGACAACAACAGCAGAATAATTTCAGGGGAATTCAACTCAAAGGGAGAGAGGGGAGGAGTTCAAGAAACCCATCCATTTAGGATTTTCAAAATCTTATTCCTTTGAGAGTCATATAATCATATACATGCTAAGCTATGCAAAATGGGCAGTAAAATTAGAAAACAAAAAAGTCCACCCTAACTGGTTTGGCTCAATGAATAGAGCATTGGCCTGTGGACTGAAGGGTCCCGGGTTCGATTCCGGTCAAGGGCATGTACCTTGGTTGTGGGCACATCCCCAGTAGGAGGTGTGCAGGAGGCAGCTGATCAATGTTTCTCTCTCATCGATGTTTCTAACTCTCTATCCTTCTGCCTTCCTCTCTGTAAAAAATCAATAAAATATTTTTAAAAGAAAACAAAGAAGCCTTAAGAGGCACCCCAAAGGCAAGGCACAGTGGACAGTGTGAGAAGTCAAAGAAATGGTGGCTAGATCACGATCAGAAGTGTGTAGATAGGGAGAGTTTTTCTGAGGTTTTGCCTCCCTCCTTTTTAAGAGATTACACTTGTAAGTGTACCAACCAGGATCCAACAGGAAATGGTTGACACACTCCTGATCTATATATATAAAAGGATAATATGCAAAGTGCCCCCTCGGGAGTTTGACTGGGAGACCGGGAGTTAGATCACTCACTATGACTTGCACTGACCACCAAGGGGAGGTGCAGAACAAAGAAAGGCCCCTGCTGGCAGCCGGAAGACCCCAATCAGCCCTGATTGCCAGACAGGTCTAGGAACCCTATCCATGCACAAATTTCACGCACCAGGCCTCTAGTAGATAATATAGGAACAGATTCTTAACAGGGCTGGTGGTAAATGTATGGGTAGAGTTAAGGGCTGGTGAAGCACGCCAGAGCTAACAAAACTGGAGATCTGTTTATACCTACTTGTCTGAAGGTACAAAAGAGAGGGTGGTTACAGCTATAAAAGAAAGCAGCTTAGTGGAAGGGACTGTGTCTCTGGTTTTAAGAGAACAGTCACCGATGGCATCAGTTAGAGAGAGATCACCCTGAGAGTAACACCCTGACCCTTCCCTCCTCCTGTCCTCCACTTCCTGCCTGTGCCTACCATTGGCTAAAACCAACCAAAAGCCAGAGAGCAGAGAACAATCACTGTGGTCCATACAGGTTGGTCTCCTGAGACATAGAGCAGGTGGACCTGTTGGGACAAGTGGAAAGTGCAGCGCATTAAGCACAGACCATAGTTTCCTGGAAAATATCATGTTGGAAGACACACCACCAGTATTTATATTGATCTCTTTTCTAGTTCCTTGATGTATAAAGTTAAATTATTAAATTGGAATCTTTCTTCTTTTTAAATGGAAGCACTTACAGTTATGAATTTTCCTCTGAGCAATGCTTTTGCTGCACCCTCTAAGTTTTGGTATGTTGTGTTTTCATGTTCATACATCTCAAAGTATTTTCTAATCTAACTTGTAATTTCTTATTTGACCCATTAGAGGGTCAGTGCATAAAAATTTATGCACTGGAGGGGGCATCCCTCAACCCGGCCTGCTTCCTCTCACAGTCTGGGAGACCTCAGGGGTGGGAGGGGACCCGGCGATCAGGGGAAGGTGACACCCCCGTCACACCTCTGCTGCTGCCACTGCCGGCAGCACAAGCCTCAGCCAGGCAGCCACCATCCAAGGCTTGCCTGTGCCTCAGGCCAGCAATGGGTGGCTGGAGGGCTGAGAGGATTGAGGGACTCCGAGGCAGGCGCCCCAGCAGTGCTGAGAGGACTGGGTGCCACCATCGTGTGGCTGTGGGAGCCGCCATCTTTGAGGGCGGGGGCAGTCAATTAGCATATTCCATCCTTATTGGCTGTGGGCGTTGCCATCTTTTGCAACAGTGTGAAGGTCAATTAGCATATTCCCTCCTTATTAGATAGGATTGGTTAAGAATGTGTTGTTTAATTGCCACATATTTGTGAAGTGTCAAGTTTTCCTCCTGTTACTGATTTCTCATGTCATTTCACTGGGGTCAGAGAAGATATTTTTGATTATTTCAATCCATCACTAGGGTTTAATTAAACAAAAGTGAACTATTAAATCATGATGAGATACCATTTGGCATCTACTAGGATGGCTATAATTTTAAAAAATGGAATATAACAAGTGTTGGCAACAATGTGAAAAAATTACAACCCTCCTGCACTGCTGGTGGACACATACACCACTATGGAAACAGTTTGGTGATTCCTCAAAAAGTTAAACAAATAATTACCTTATTATTCAACAATTCCACCCCTAAGTACACGCCCAAAGGAACTGAAAACAGGGACTCAAACAAATACTTACACATGCAGGTTCATAGCAGCACTATTCACAGTAGCCAACAGATGGAAACAACCCAAGTTTCCATTAACAGGTGAATGAATAGACAAAATGAATATCCATGCAATGGAATATTATTCAGCCATAAGAAAGAAGGAGGTTCTGCTACATGTTACAACATGAATGAACCTTCAAAACATGGTAAGTGAAATAAGCCAGACACAAAAGGATATCTATTAAATTATGTCATCTATGGGAAATACCTAGCATGGTACATTTACAGTAACAGGGAGTAGATTAGAGGTGACCAGGGACTGGGAGAAGGGGAAATGGGGAGTCATTGCTTAATGGATACACAATTTCAGTTTAAGATGAAAAAAGTTTGGGAAATAGACCATGGTGAAGGCTGCACAAAATTGCAAATATAATTAATGCCACTGAATGGTACACAAAAAAGGTTAATATGGCAAATTTTATGTTCTATATATGTTTACAGCAATAAAACTTTTAAAATACCCCTTCTTTCTTTTTCTCTCATCATGCACCAAAGAAATACAGGCAGTCCTCAGATTACGTCGGACTCGATGTACATCGTTTTATGGTTACGTCACCATCTTTCATCCTATATAATAAAGAGGTGATATGCAAATTAACCCTCATGCCCTCACAAGATGGCTGCCTAAGACCAGGCCAGCAGGGGGGTTAGTAAGGGACGATCAAACAACTAAACAGTAGGCTGCATGGGGCAACCAGGCCAGCAGGGGGGCCATGAGGGGGAACCAGGCCGGCAGCGGGGCAGTAAGTGGTGATGAGGCTGGTGGTGGGGGCAATTAGGAGCAACCAGGCCATTGGGGGTTGCAGTTGGGGGCTACCAGGCTGACAGAGGGGAGGCATTATGGGGGCAATTAGGCTGGCAGGGGTGCAGTTAAGGGCAATTAGGCTGGCAGTGGGGGTTAGTGAGGGGCAACTACGCCAGCAGAGGGGCAGTAAGGGGTGACCAGGCTGGTGGAGGGGTAATTAGGAGCAACCAGACCAGCAGGGAGGAAGCAGTTGCGGGCAACCAGGCTGACAGGGATGGGGCAGTTGGGGGCAACCAGGCCAGCAGGGAAGGGGCAATTGGGTGTGACCAGGCCGGCAGTGGGGGGGGGCAATAAGG